TAAGAGGACCAGAGGCAACACTCTGAGGAAATGAAAATCAGAACAGGAAACCTGGAAAGGAAACGGGTAAAACTGGCCAGAGAAGAGGAAAATCAGAAAGCAAGGAGTGTCACGGTAACTAAAGGAAAGAGAAATGCAGACAAGAGGGGGTGGTCAGCAGTGTTACATATAAGATCTAATGATTAGAAAGCCACTCACAGTTAGGAGGGTAAATATCTGGAATAGTAAGAACGAACCAGTAGTTTATACCCCAAAGAGGACAGATGCTGAAGGGAATGAGATAAAGGACAGGAGCAAGGGGCAAAGGATACATTACCTTCCCGTGGACAGGCTGTACATCCTAGGGAAGCAGCAGCCCTGGGCCGTCTAAGAGGTCCTGCATCCAAAAGGCGACTCCAGCAAAGGAATGGGCTCATGGAAGACCAGGGCAGAAGACCAAAGGAGACATCACCAGTGACAAGGGAATTGTAGGGGAGACTGGGCAGCAGGGGGGCACAAAAACGCCATAGGAGAAAAGAATCAGCATTTATTATCTCCTATACCTGTAAGAGGCAAAATGGTCCCCCAAAGCATCCATGCCCTAATCTCTGGTCCTATAAAGGATATTACATGTTAAAAGGGGACTTTGCGACATTATGTTGGGTTATCTGGGTGAGCATAATCTCATACATGAGCCCTTAAAAGCAGAGAACTTTCTATAGATCAGACAAGAGATGCCAGAGGAGGAGAAGGCTGAGAGATTCGAAACAAGAGGTGGATTTCATGTAACTGAGAGGTAGCGGCCCGTACAAACGATAGGAAAGAGGCCTCTGGAGCTAAGGCAGCCCCAGATCACAGCCTGGACCTCATTCCTACAAAAGCGAGGAACTAGATTCTGTCATCATGAACTTGGAAGAGGTTCTTCGCAAGAGCATCCGGTAAGAGCCCAATCATCAGACACTGATTTTAGCCTTGTGAAATGTGAGAAAACAGGTGAGTCAACCTGGACTTTGACTTGCAAAACTAGGAGACAGTACGCAGGCATTTAAAGCCACCAAATTCGTGGTAATCTGTTACAGTACCCCAAAAAACTAACACCGCCCCAGGACGCCAATGCCAGGTTATAAGCACCGTAGGCCGGAAGCGTACTCTTATTCCTCCTCTCACCTCCCATCTAGTCCTGGAGGAGACAGACGCAATCTGGAGAGTAGAGCACAACCACGTGAGGTGAAGAAACAGAAGAGGCCAAACTCACTCCCCAACTACTGCCCCAACTAGAGCCTTTAAGGGGAGCCAGCCTGTAAGGGGGAAAGGGAGAGCTTTTTTTTTTTTTTTTGGTTCGAAATTGTTTTTATTATTTTTGCTGTTTAATCTCAAAGCCAAGAGAAAGCTCTGAGACCTGCCTGGGATTTCACCTAGGAGCAAGAAAAGAATAAGTCAAGGGGGCTGATATAAAGAGGCAACAGCTACAATGATCAAGTCATTTTCAGCTTGTATCTGCCACGCTCAACTCATTCAGAACCAGTTAACATAGACCTACAGGGAGTCCAATAGTAAATACTGAAACTTGACTTCCAGAAATCAAAGTTGAATATACAAGATGTCCTCTCAGCTATTTCACAAAGCTAGATCCACAGAGAAACCAATAGGCGCTTTCAGATAACAATTCCACTTTTACCAAAAGACAAATGGGAGAAAGAAATACTTTAGTCTAAGTATTCATCATTGCTTTAAAAACAAAACTCAACCCAACCTCGACCCAAAAACCCACTGAAACTATTACCCAGAGACCAAGTAAATCCATCTCCAAAATAAAGTGAAAGGATTACAAATATTCAAGTATTATACTCTACCTCTCGTTAAGTAATCAAGTCTGCACACTGAAGACTTAAAAAAAAAAAAAAAGGTTCTGTAAAAAGTTTTTACTTTATGTAGAAATTTCTTCAATACCTTTGATAAAGTTAAATAAGGTTTTAAAAATTGTAAAGTCAAAACTAAGAATTTAGATGCAAATTTTAAATGGTAGGAAACCCCTGTAGGTGCAAACGCCAAGACATTAAGATTGCAGATTCAGTGTGGCTTCTTCAAAAGAAGAGAAGTATGAGGAACAGGGGTGCCTAGGTGGCACAATCGGTTAAGTGACCAACTCTTGATTCCCCCTGAGGTCATGATCTCAGGGTCGCAGGATGGAGCCCCACATTGTGAGGCTCCGCACTCAGCAGGAGTCTGCTCAAGATTCTCTCTCCCTCCATCCTCTGCCCCTCCCTTGCTCTCTCACTCACTAAATGTTAAAAATTTTAAAAAGTACTAGATAGGTAGGTACAAATAAAAAAAAAAATAATCAAACTCAACACTTCATCTAGCATTTTCTACAGACATAGGAACAGCTTTAAATTTGTCAAAAATGCAGTACCGTGTAAGGCCTGAAAAATATCAATCATCTACATTTAGTGAACAGAAAAGACCCTTCTCAGCTCCAGAACCATCAGTGGATTTTCCCCTAGAATTGTCATACAGTCAAGCAATCAGAAAGGGAAAAACCACCTAGTTTTTGTTTTGTTTGTTATTTTAAACAAGACCTTAGTTCTCATAAACTCACTTATTAGCAAACTGGGCAGCCCTGACCCATCAACAATTTCATTTTACTGCTGCTGAGTAAAATGAGTTTGACTGCAAACGATTTTCTGCCAACAGGGATACCCGTTTAAGATTTAACAAGGTATCAGGCCCAGTTATTAAATATGTATTGTGTAAACACTTCAAGGACATCAATATCCTTCTGCCCTATACATAACTACAAACATTGATAGTCTTACCCTTCTCTGGGTAACTTCCCCTTTTCAGAATAACTGAAAAATACCTCAAGTAATCACGGTCAGTACAGAATACCGTGAACTATATTCAGTACTCTACATAGTTGCACTTTTAATGGCTTGTGGTGCTAAGATGTGGCCTTGTAAACACCTATCAACAGCCTATTCACTTTTACTCAGATAGCACCAGCAATTATGATCAGAAAGAAAAACTTAACGAAGTAGTCACCAAGGAATGAAAAAAAGTACCATTCTAGAATCTCCTAGGTAATTTATGTGAGTGGTTCCACATATAGTACACGGACTGAGGAGGTAGCTAAGGGCACTTTATCTTGAGTCCTCCAAGATGGTATTGAAGAGAACTACCATTATACAAGCCTCATTAACAGAGGCAAAGAGGCCAGCAAAATATAAAACAAAAACAAAAGTGCTCACTTTGGCGGCACTTATACTAAAACTGAGGAAAAAACACTTTTCTGTTCAAGGCTGAAATGATATCAACTCATGGAGACGAAAGAGTTAAGAGTTATACATGTGTAGTTAATTAAAACCAAAATGAGCACTTCATCAAGAGCTGACATAATAGGTAACAATGTCTCAAGCCGAGGGTTCATGCAAAACAATACTAATGAAATATATGCTCAGTGATGAAAAGTTAGGAATCACTAACACTAATTAATCCTATGGAGACACAAACTAGGCATTGTCTCTTTCTGGGGCCTTCTAAAGCTCCATGTGTAACACTGGACACAAATATTTGATGAACAGAAAATAAGGCAGTATAACGGTAAATACTTTGTTGATTCCAGCTGAATAATGAAGAGACCAGTTATTAACTTGCTCAAATTTCAAACACATTTTACACTCTAAGTGAATTTCCTAAAAACTAAAGGCTGTCAGAACCAACAGATGAAATAAAATAAAGTCCTGAGTTGAAATATTATACAACTCTTCAGAATGGCATACAAAATCCTCTCATAACCGGCCCCAAATTACCATTCTAGTCTAATTTTTCAAACCTCTCACACGTTCCCCCCTGAGCTATTTGTACCTCGCTCTGTCTGGGCTCACGGTCATTTCCCCATCTTAAGAGAATGCCCTTTCCCTCTTCTTATTCCAACCCTGTAAGACCACACCTGCCTCTAAGTCCATCTGCTCTATGAAATTTCCCTAAGCTACTTTAATAACCTTTCAATTTTGGCTTCCCCTGAAGCTAACGAGGTATCTCAAAAATTATTTTCTTCCTACTCAACTTATAAAGAACTTAACCATTAATTACCACCTTCTGGCATTTCTTACTCATTTATTTTTTCAAATGTTTGTTTTGACTCCTAGGAGATAAGCAACTTGAGGGTAAGAACTATACATGAAACTAGACGCAATTAGCATTCATTTTGTGATAAATGATTTTGGACATACTTAACATACAGGGCTGTTGGTGAAATTAGGTTAGCCATGAGCAGAGTCAGGATCACCATTCTTGAGAACCAATAGAATGTGGCTTTTAATACTGTGTCTCCACCAGAAAAGGCACACCCCAAAATGAGTAAGTTCTAGTCTCCTCAGATATAAAAGTTCTAGGACTATATGAACCTGGTTATCCTGAGAAGAAATCAAACAAGAAAAAAAAGATGGAAAAAAAAATCAGCACACGTAACATACACAGCACCGTGATCATCATTCTACAATGCAAACGAACCCCAACAGACAGACCACTTAGATAATCTTTAAGATTCAAAATGTATCATTTGAGGGGCGCCTGGCTGGCTCAGTCATTAAGCGTCTGCCTTCGGCTCAGGTCATGATCCCAGAGTCCTGGGATCAAGTCCCGCGTCAGGCTTCCTGCTCAGCGGGGAGCCTGCTTCTCCCTCTCCCACTCCCCCTGCTTGTGTTCCCGCTCTCACTCTGTCAAATAAATAAAAATCTTTTAATAAAAATTTAAATATGTATCATTTGATACTTGAGAGGGTTTTTGTGTATTCTGTATATTAAACACACACACACACACACACACACAAAACCAGTGTGCCTATTTTCCTCTGGTTCTTATTTTTGTAATCCTAAAACTCTGCACACCTGAAGTGCTATACTCAATGACATCAGAAATAACCCTACGAAACATGAGTCTTAAATGTTTATCGTTCCACTAACATGATTAGAAGCTAAGGTTTTTACATAAACTATTTTATGAAAAAAAATAATTCTTACCATCATCTTTTCGAAAAGTTCTAAGACTTCATTCTGTGACAGTGGCTTTGGAATGTTTTCCATCACCTCTGAAGAGCAATCATTGCTTGCAAACGCAGTCTTCAGGTTGGAAAGTGGAGGTCTCTCTTTCTTGCTCCCTGGAATTCTTATGCTTGCAAATTTGTCCAGCTACAAAGGTAAAACAGCACATACATTAATATTTCCTCCAACATTTATCTGATTGCCAAAATAAAAAAAAAAAAAAAAAACCCACAGGATCGATCACATTATCACTGTGATTTCATCAGAAGGCATTCAGCACTAGAATCTAAGATTTTTTTTTTTAAAAAAAACAGAAGTTTTCCATAACCATCCTGTCTAAAGACAGAAGAGAAATCGAACAACCTCCAAAGATTCTTTCTAATCTTATAGAATTAAGATTCTAATGGCAGGTGACCTTTGCTTTACAGATTAGCCAACTAAGCAGTCTTACAAAGGTAAGTAGGCTAATTCAGCGGTTGGCAATCAAACTAATATTTAGTGTCCTGGCTCCCAGCCCCCTTGTCCAGTGCCCTTTTCATAGAATTCCTAAATCACATTTCATGGTATGCATGCACTAAGAGTTGAATTCTACTTATATCTCCAGAGCTTGTTGGTCTGATAAATACCACATTTCTCTTCATTCAGGCTGGTCTGTATTTGAATTTCATGAGCAGCTATAGAGTAAGATGGCTAAAGCCTCAGGAAATAAAGCTGGGGTTTTTGCTGTAATGGGATTTCTTCTATTAAGTCAAATAGTTCACTGATATTTGAAAGTATATAGATATTAGTTTATAAACTGATTGTTCATTGAAAATTGCTTGATTTCACAAATTCTATTCCTCACATAAAACCCAGACTCAAAGTTTCAAGTGTTAACAATCAAAAAGACAAATAATATCAGAGTAGTTAAGAGAAATGTACTCAAAAACCACAATGGTTCTGTGAATTGTTCAGCATAACTACTATACCTTACACTGTTTTTGCCATGATGTATACATTGACTTGTGCTATTCATGGCAACCACTAGCCATGTGGGGTTGTTTAAATTAAGAGTTCAGTTTCTTAGTTGCAGTAGCCACATGCTAAGTCCTCAAGAGCCACATGTGGCTAGTGGCTCCCATACTGGTGAAAGCACATATAGAACGTTTCTATCATCACAGCAAATTCTACTGGATAGCGCTAGTACAGTCCAGTGGAGAAATGGGATACAAAATACTGAATTTAAAAAGGACAAGAAGTCACAGTATTATTTCACTAAAGAAATAGAATGTGTCCTTAAGATACAAAAATAATGTCTTTAAATTCATTGTGAATATAGAGCCTAGGAAAAATGCCATGTCCTACCTTCACCTGTGATCCATCTAACAGGCCCTAATCATGAAAGTACTAAGAACAGGACAGCTTCCAGTAGGGTTGAGAGTCACAAAGTACCACCACCGCTCTCCTCATAACAAAAACGAGCCAGAAAACCTCCCCAGTTACAGCTGTTTTCAACCCATCAGGGGGACGAGGGCACAAGGAAACCTGGAAGGACCACTGGAAAGTGACAAGTTGCTTCGATCCCTGACAAACAGCTACAGACTAAGAAGTTAAACAAGGATAAAAATATAAATAACCAGCAAAATTTTTAACTACTGCCAGCATGGGTTCTGGCAGGAGACACTCAAATTCCAAGGAGCCCCAGTCCTGAAGCAAGTCTACACCCACCTACTGACACTTTCCCTCAGGCCTTCACCAACTGCATGGGTTAATCCCCCAAAGGCTGGAGGGAGGCAAGATGTCCAGAGGCATGAAGTGTCCCAGGTGGCCTCTCCCCATGCAAAGAGACTGCCCTCCCAAATACTCTGAATTAGGCAAAAAGACGGGAGAGAAGCCCCAAAGACATTCTGGCCCATCAGAGAATCAGTGATGGCTGCCACTGAAGGCCGGGGTCAGATACCAGGTCGGTGAGATCTCCCGAAGAAACCGAGCCAGAAATGCAACTGAAAACACAAAGAACTCTATATTAACCGTGAAAAGGGCATCAGAACCTTAAAGCAGAGTTATCCCAGTCTTGAATATGAACAGTTCAGTCGTAAAGCCAAAAGCAGAATGCCAGAATCTCATTCATGCTAAGCGATCTTGAAGGCCCAGAGGACACTAATCAAACTAAAGCAGCACCTTTGCCAAGCCCAGCTCAACGAGACATCACACGGACTCAGTCCCCCATTCTAGCAGCCTGAAGAAAGGCACTTTCTTCGAAGTATTATTTCATTTCCACAGTATTCAAATAAAATGTCTACCATATAATCAAATACTGCTAGATTCACGAAGGACCTAGGAAGTGTCAGCCAGAGTCAAAGAGAAGCAGACCTAGAGATGGCCTGGATGATGGACTTACCGGTCAGATCATCTCAAAGGATATTTAGAAAAATGCTGAAGAATATAATGAAGAGCAGACACAAAGTAGGACATGGGCAATTTTAGCAACTAAGTCACGGAAATTATTCTTAAAAACACATTAGAAATTTAAATTGTATCAACAAAGAATTCATAGATGAGCTTCAGAGTAAAATGAACACTGCTAAGAACTGGTGAACTTAAACCCAGACCAACAAAAAGCATGCAAACTGAAACACCATGGAAAAGGGGAAAAAAAAAAAAAGAACAGAGAAACCAAGAGCTGAGATACAATATGAAGCGCTGTGACACAAGTGTAATGGAGGGCCAGAAAAATAAAATGGTACTGAAGACCTATTTCAGGAGATAATGACTGAAATAACTGATTTTTTAGGAATCAATTCATGGCTACCAGAAGCAGAGCCATGAAGGAAGCATACCAAGACAAACAAGCCCACACCTAGGCACCTCAGTCAAGCTGCTAAAAATCCAAAGTAAATGGCAAACCATAAAAGCACACCCAGACATATGAAGACACGTTATATACAAGATAAAAATGACACAAATAACTCATTTCTCCCCAGAAACTACAGCAAAAGGCAATGGAAGGGCATCTTTAAAGGACAAGAAGAAAACGACTGTCATCGTGGGATTCTATATCCAGTAAAAGTATCTTTGGAAAATAGAAGCAGAATGAAACACTTTTAGACAGCCAAAACTTGAGACCTGTACTACAAAACATGCCAAAAGGAGTTTTTCAGGCTGGAAAAAAAAAAAAAAAAAAGATACCAGATAGAATCCCAGATCTATAAAAGAACAGAGATGTTATTCTATCAGATGTTTATAATTTTTAAAAAAGACTATATTCAACTCAAGTTGAATTATAATCAAGTGGGAGAGACAAGCATATGAAGAGGCAATTACATATGGATATAAAAAATGTAGCAAGAGGTATGGACAATGAATTACAGCAGCAGAGAAAAGAACATCCAACTCATCAACATAAATACTCCTTTACTTTGGAAATAACCCAGAAACATACAATTGTCTCCACATGATTAGAGGTCCCAAAGCGAGCAACCCTATGTACCTCAGCACCCCAATTCTTGATACTTGTTCTAAAAAATGAGACCAAAAATTTCAGAAATGGGACTGGTTCCTCCACCTGTCTTCTGAATCACTACTTCATTGCTGTAACTTCTCTACAGTGATCAATTCCTGAGTGTTAAACCTATGCTGACTCCACACACCACACACACACACACACACACACACACACACACACACACAACTTGATATGTTAAACTCATAATGAAGTGAAATTAAGCAAATCATTAATGCATCAGTATTATAAATGTAAACACGTCAATGAATGGGAATAGTAAGCGTAAGCAATTCACAAGCTAGTTTGTGATCTATAACCTAATGGTTCCATCAGTGATAGTTATCAAAAAAACTTAATTTTCGCCACAAACCAAAACTTTCTAAAGATTCTTTCAAAAATCACTGAGCCCCTTCTGTATTTTATACACTGTATTAAGAGCTTGAAAGGTAGCATCAGGCTGAATGCATTTGTTTAATTTTTACAATAAGGAAACTTCCTGGCTAAATAATAAAGGACGAGCTCCAAAACACTTTTATATTTAACAATTTCATAGTATTTAACTTATACAACCGCATAAATGAAAAAAAATCCATTATGTTTTTAGAAGTAGAACTGCATTTATATCAATAAACAGCATAATTGTACAACAATAAAAGAGAATGAGCACACCTCCCCCATATGCTTAGCACCTAAACTCTGGGGGAAAGTTGGATTTTATTCAAGTGGAAAACAATTTCACACATTACCACTAGGATAGCTAAAGGCAAGGTAGGAAAAATTGGCCCAAGGAGCCATAGGAGAAAAATACATACGATCCTCCTATGCTAGAACAGTAAATTCAATTTGTTGAATACCTCGGGCTTAGAGTAAAAGCATCCCCAAGTACATGATGCTTTACTGAGCACTACAGGTAGATTCCTATAATCTGGGCACTACTGACAAAGCTAGGTGCAAAATGAACTTTACTATCAAATCACTTTAAACGTTCTAAGGGTTTTTTTGGCGGGGGAGGTTTGGGAAGGGGTTTTTGTTTCAAGGGAGGATGCTGTGACTCCATGCAGAAATGGCGGGGGGCGGGGCGGCAGGGTGAGAAACACTCCTAATCTATCTTTCATGGAATTACTCATACAATTTGCTTGAAGCAAGGTACAATGGAACCCAAGAGCAAAAGTTTTAAATGCTTCTGTCCATACATACACAATATAAATCCCCATTACGCGGACTAGAAGTTGGTTATTTTTGCATTTGGCAATTTGGAAGGTTTCCCAATTTATGCATTGCATAGCTACTTTTCATTTTACGCGAATTCTCTTAAAGTTGAGCTAGAAACACAACCCAAGAAGGTGAACCACACCAACGACTTGCCTTTGTTAAAGATTTGGTTAAACACACATAAGACTGAGAGAATTCTATTTTAATGCTATTTGGAGGTGGCACACCACACTGAATTAATATGGCTTCAGCTGTGTCTGGGGTGTACGGAGTTTTATAAATTAATATCACTTATCTTCACGGGAAGTTAAATGAGCACCCTACTGAGTATTATCTCACACTGATAATCAGTAATTACAGTTTAAATAAAATTAATTAAACCAAAAACAGGCTCTAAACTATCTGGATTTTAAGCTGTAGTGTAACACTGTAATAGTGACAAAGTTCTATT